ATGTAGGTTATTTTGTTTGCAAAATTCCATGCCATTAAGTCCAGTTTATTACTTGAATCGTAAGCAAATTCCATGTTAGCATTTTTCTCATCGAAAAATTTTAGTTTTTTAAAAATCATGCTAATAGTTTTTGGTCATGTATATTCTCTCGTAATCCGTGAATATATTTCGTAGTCCACGTAATCCGTGGTTCTTTTATGAGAATAAACAGCCCATCCTCCTGGTTAAATAGTTCTTATAATAACGATGTGAACCATCCTACATATAGTGTCGTAATGAACAAATAAAAATAAGAATTTGGTACCATTCTATTTGGACAAGCCGGAAAGAATTTTGTGTATTCGTTGCAAATCAAGTCCAACCTAATCTAACGCCCATAGGCCTAATACTCGCTATCTTAGGTCTGATATAGAATATATATATGTGCTATACTAGGCCTAGGAATATTATTGTTTGATTTTAAGGCTTGATTTTACGGACTATTTTTAAAGTAAATAGTAACTACTACTACTAATGTAATGATCCATTACGTCAATATGCGTACGGTGGTTCAAAGGGTTACAACGAAACCTGACTATAACAGAATGAAGGGTTGAAGGAAGGGGTATATGAGAAGGAAGGAAGAAGAAAGAAGGAAGGGTTTATAACGGTTGGAATAGAGGATTAATCTGCCTGTAGTCTTCAGGGGACATATTTCGTTTTAAATTCAATTGAATCTAAAGCTTTATCCATCAATAGTTGATGGATAAAGACATTAACTATTGAGTTGGTTTACACAAATTTGTAGCATATAAATTACAACAGAGAATGACGTAATAACAGCATAATATGTAATTATTACAGTAGTAACTAGCTAGAGTATTGTTGCTTATGGAGAGCACGTGTGTTTTTTCATATATCCTCAGCCATAGAATCTCAGACATTTAGTGTGTTCTTAGATGCATTTCTGGGCACGCCCGCAGACACACACACACACACACACACACACACACACACACACACACACACACACACACACACACACACACACACACACTCACACACATTAGCTACCAATACAAAATAATGTGTTTCACACAGACGCATGTAAGGGCGTGGCGTGCGGGGAGTTTGGGGTATGCGTGGTGGACCCCGAAGGCATCGGCCGCTGTTCCTGCCCCACCAACTGTACCCAGGTGAGTACAGTTGGTATCTGGTGTTATACGGCAGGTATACCCTACCATATAACACCAGATACAATCAAAGCGTAACTTCACTCTGAGTAGGAGGCTTGATCTCCCTTCTATAATTCAACCTGTTATCACATTGGACATTGGCTGGTATCTCTCGCCCAAAATTTAGAATTTCCTATGAGTTTAAATAATTGCTTAGCAATAAATACGGCAATAAATGCCCAGATAATACATGTTATGTAAACAAGAGTTAGGATAGACCTCGGAAGCCAGGATTCGAGAGCATTTACGAGTCGCCCTGCAGGATCTGAACCTCTTATGTCGACCCTCTTATGTCTGAACCTCTTGTGTCGACCCAATATACGAAGTTAAACCTTTGACGTCATCCTTGACCTATGGTTATTTTCGATATATGAGACTCCATAGGGCTTTCCAAAGCCGTAAATTGAACAGTAAATACGGACTAAGCCACCGTGATGGAGATAAGAGGCCATAGATCACTTACGTGGGCAGGTAAGAGCTTGGTGAATCCCGGCGCCCGAGAGCACTTACGATCAGGAAGATATATATATGCCAGCAGTTCTGAGGTGGTGGTGCCTTCTGTAGGCACTGGGCGGGGAGGTGTGTGGCAGTGATGGTCAGACTTACGCCTCAGAGTGCCACCTTCAGGTCGCTGCCTGCAGCAGCCAGAGGCACCTCAGCGTCGCTCACAAGGGAAACTGCGGTAAGTGTTCCTCCTCCGTCCTCGAGACTTGATGGTAAACAACACCATCAAGTCTGAAGTTAGACTTCAGAAGTTAAAAATGACAACTTCTCCCTTATGACCAAATCACACATCAATAAATGGAGAATCGACGACGTTTCGGTCCGTCCTGGATCATTATCGAGTCGTGAGACTTGACCCACGTCAGGCTGCGAGCAGCCGCGTCTAACAGCCTGGTTGATCAGTCCAGCAACCAGGAGGCCTGGTCGACGACCGGGCCGCGGGGACACTAAGCCCCGGAAGCACCTCAAGGTAGGTACGGTCCAGGATAGACCGAAACGTCATCGTTTCTTCATTTTCTGGTCTGTTGTTTGGTCACCATATCTTCAGCCACGTCATTGTGACTCAACGTCAACTTTTACCTATTTTATCCTTTTCTTATATTGGCCTTTATTTGTGTTCGTTATAAACGTGTTTTTATACTCATGTGGGTACGAAAGCTGAGCCTCTTAATGTACGAAGGGTTCCGATGCTCACGTGTTTTACTTCCACATTTATATCGGATTTTAATAACAAATTTATGGGATCGTTTGGTAATAGCTTGTGACGTACGCCTTATGAGTTGGGGATTAAAGAGTTATAGTGACTGTTAACATATTCAACGGCTGATTGCATGTACTCAACGACTCACAAGAGGCGCACTCACTTAACAGGCAAATGATTGCACAAGCACCAAGCATCCGGGGTGATGTGCACTCATGTACCAGATGTGCAAACACTGAGCAACAGTTTCGATGTGCACTCATTACAGGCAGAGTGCACATGTATCCACTCGTCAGAATATGAACTCAATATCCAAGTGGAAGACTCTTCACTTATCTTCGGGCTAACCAGAGGTTTAGGGCTCGCGCAGGAATATCCTACAAAAAAGAACTACGCTTGTACCTAGTACACAAAAGCAACAGTCAGCCAAAAACCTCGACCTCAATAGCTTCCTTAACACGAATGTTCCCGCCAAAAAAAAAGCCTCGTGTGAGCGCTACTAAACGCTAGAAAATTATCTTTTATATAACACCAATTACAAGTCCTGTGGAGAGGCGCCAGTTGGAACGTAATTTAACAGGATTAACGTCACCTCGTCCCTTATACTTCCTCTTTAGCTTTCCCCTTAGGCTTTCCCATTTCCCTTTCCCCTTTCATGACGTCATATACGTCAATTCAGACATAAAATGGCTCGTCAATGAGTTTTTTTGTTTGTCTTGTATTAACAAAGTAATCCAACCTCATCAAATCTAACTTAACCTAGACGAGCCTAACCTAATTCAACCTAACTCGATCTAACTTAACCTAGTATGTCATAATTTAACTGAACTATACATAAAATTTTCGCAATGAGAAAACGAACTGTGTCTTCACAGTCATAGACCCACTCACGCGTTTCATACATTCAGTATATCTTTGGTTACATTAAATTATGTTATATTTCGTTACGTTACATTGTATTAGGTTGAATTGCATTGGGTAGGTTCAAAAGTCCATTGACGAACGGTCTACTAATGTGCGAAATGACTGACTTGTATCCACAATATAAGCTACAGATGATCGTCACGTTTGACCTCCTGGCGGGGTGTGGGGGGGGATGCATTGCAGACCTGTGTCTTGACGTGCATTGCAAGTACGGTGCAAGGTGTGAAGGAGGTCGTTGCATCTGTCCCACCGACTGCCCTGACAAGCGGGAGCCCGTCTGCGGTTCAGATCGCTTCACCTACAGCAACGAGTGTGTCATGCGCAAGGTGAGTGTGCCAGGTTGGTGTCAGATGTGTGTTGGCGAGATGAATGTTGTTGTGGTGTGTAATGTGTGTGTGTCAGATATGGAGGTGGGTAGTGTGTGTGTATGTGTGTGTATGTGTCAGATATGGAGGTGTGTAATATGTGTGTCATATATGGAGGTGAGTTGTTAGTGTAACCTTTAAGGAGTTATGATCCAAAATGGTGTTATTACTAAGAATGTGTCAAGGATATTACGAGCCTTGTAGGTGAAGTGAATATTAAAAGTCACACTACTCAAACTTACTGTGCATCTCACTGTACAAGTCACCATATGTACCACCACACGGTTACCTTACTGTGTGCTTCACCAAACTGCAAAAGACCATTGTGTACAACTTCACACCATAAAGCCCACTGTGTCCCACGTCACACCGTACAAGTCACTGTATTCCTCATCACTCTGTACAAGCCACGATGTATCACACCACACAGTACAAGCGTGCACCACAACACACTGTACAAGCGTGCACCACAACACACACAGTACAAGCGTGCACCACAACACACACAGTACAAGCGTGCACCACAACACACACTGTACAAGCGTGCACCACAGCACACACTGTACAAGCGTGCACCACAACACACACTGTACAAGCGTGCACCACAACACACACTGTACAAGCGTGCACCACAACACACACTGTACAAGCGTGCACCACAACACACACTGTACAAGCGTGCACCACAACACACACTGTACAAGCGAGTACCTTGTCACACTAAATCCTGCTGTCTCCTCACCGCGACAGGTCGCTTGTGAAAAGAACGAGGATGTGAACTACTTGTTCTTCGGGGAGTGTGATGAGATTGGGGGCATCGTTACAGGCAAGTGTTCTCACTTTATGTTGTTACAGGGTATAGATGTTCTTCCCTTCTTATAGTGTTGTCACAGGTATGTGTTCTCCCTTTATGTTACTGTTACAGAAAGATGTTCTTCGCTTGTTATGCTGTTGTCATAGGCTAACCTTCTACCTTTGTTATTTTTTTATTAACACATTAGGTACACCTACATTTGTGCAACTATCCTAGGCTATATGAAGGGGAGTACAGTGTGTCAAAAACCTAGCTACGTGATGCTAAAAATCCCCATCACACAGGATGGTTAGTCATACAGAGGCATGTGATAAGCAGTCTGCACTGGCAGACTCCGGATGCATTTTGAGGATATCATCAACACAAGATTGAATAAGGTAGCAGTGGTAATAAAAGTCCCCATCTCGCAGGATGGTTAGTCATACAGGACCATGTGTTTAGTAGCCTGCACTGGCAAATTTTGGGTACACTGTGAGGATATCTTCAAGAATACGAGAGTGAATAAAGTAATTGCAAAGCTCCAGGTACCTCATGCCAACTGGTCTGAAAGGTCTAATAACTGGGCATTTAGTGATGTACATTGTAATTTTTTTTATAAAGATATAAGGTACATCTGCATTAGTACATTGTGACCAAATAATTACCACGTGAAAGTCTACGCAAGTTACCACCCAGAGTTCACTTACTAGTGTGTCATGTTTCAACACTGAAGACACTTAGTAGCGGCTTGTTTTTAATCAAAGTAATATTGACTTTGTTGACCAGACCACACACTAGAAGGTGAAGGGACGACGACGTTTCGGTCCGTCCTGGACCATTCTCAAGTCGATTCAAGTCCAGGACGGACCGAAACGTCGTCCTCCCTTCACCTTCTAGTGTGTGGTCTGTTCAACATACTTTAGCCACGTTATTGTGACTCATCGCTTAATATTGACTTTATTCAAAAGGTAATACTGACTCACCGAATGTTGTGTGAGTCAGATAATTGTAATCCAAGAGGTTAACAGCTTTAGTTGTCATTTTCTAAAGGACACAAAGGGTATCAATCCTGTACAGCTTGTGTCTTTTGTGATGTAATGACAGTAATTGCGATCAATTGATTGTTCTAAAATACACAAAACAGCCTCAAACGATCTTCAGCTTGCGTCGATACAATCTTTAACGTGGAGTGATAAAATCTGATTGGATGTAGTTGAACACACACACACACACACACACACACACACACACACACACACACACACACACACACACACACACACACACACACACACACACACTATATATATATATATATATATATATATATATTTGGAATTGCCTCCAAAGGGCCAAACACCCATTTGCAGTGTGATATATTCTTATGTTATCTGATGCGCGACATTATTGCCACTTCAGACGTGATCTATCCGACTCCTCTACCACCTACGAGCCCTGAGGACCCGTGCCACTCACACACGTGCCTCGCGGGGGCTGAGTGCCAGGCAGACGGTGAGGGGAGAGCCAGGTGTGTATGCGACTTCTACTGCTCTCCTCCCCCGCGCTACGAGCCCGTCTGCGGTAGTGACAAGGAGTTCTACGAGTCGGATTGCCTGATGCGCCTCCACGCCTGTAATATTCAGGTGGAGCTGTCCGTACGCCCCATCCACGAGTGCGCTGGTTAGTGTCGCAGGGTGGTGCAGCCACAGGGGCAGTGGATGAGGTGGATGATGAGGTGTATAGTGGTTTGACTCACGTTACTTTCACTGGTTTAGTGTTGGGTCATTTCACTCTCACTGGTTCAGTGATGAGTCAGGTCATTCTCACTGGATCAGTGATGAGTCAGGTCATTCTCACTGGATCAGTGATGAGTCAGGTCATTCTCACTGGTTCAGTGATGACTCAGGTCACTCTCACTGGTTCAGTGATGACTCAGGTCACTCTCACTGGTTCAGTGATGACTCAGGTCACTCTCACTGGTTCAGTGATGACTCAGGTCACTCTCACTGGTTCAGTGATGACTCAGGTCACTCTCACTGGTTCAGTGATGACTCAGGTCACCCTCACTGGTTCAGTGATGACTCAGGTCATTCTCACTGGTTCAGTGATGACTCAGGTCACCCTCACTGGTTCAGTGATGACTCAGGTCACCCTCACTGGTTCAGTGATGACTCAGGTCATTCTCACTGGTTCAGTGATGACTCAGGTCACTCTCACTGGTTCAGTGATGACTCAGGTCACCCTCACTGGTTCAGTGATGACTCAGGTCACTCTCACTGGTTCAGTGATGACTCAGGTCACCCTCACTGGTTCAGTGATGACTCAGGTCACTCTCACTGGTTCAGTGATGACTCAGGTCACTCTCACTGGTTCAGTGATGACTCAGGTCACTCTCACTGGTTCAGTGATGACTCAGGTCACCCTCACTGGATCAGTGATGACTCAGGTCACTCTCACTGGTTCAGTGATGACTCAGGTCACCTCTCACTGGTTCAGTGATGACTCAGGTCACTCTCACTGGTTCAGTGATGACTCAGGTCACTCTCACTGGATCAGTGATGACTCAGGTCACCCTCACTGGTTCAGTGATGATTCATGTCATTCTCACTGATGACTCACGTCACTCTTTGCTTAAGGTCACTTGTAATAATATTCTTGCTTTTGCAATGATTTAACAAGAAAGGAATTCATCTTATGCAAATACCTCAGGTCTACGGAGGAACTATTAGGATCGATCATTCGTGATCGAAGGACTGGTTCTATGCCGCGTCTGTGCATCAGAATCGACTATGATCACCATTGATAAAACAACAAAACAAATACTATTCTTATGCATAGATTTCACTGACATAATCAACGGATATAAATTAAATCCGAATATAACGTAGAATTTCTTATCTTCTATTAAGATATAAAAGTCAGGCACAGATATGATTTATCTTTTCCAGTTTTAAGAAACCATCGTGATAGCTGTAATGCGAAAGCCACCATTACTAACATATGTAAGCAATATTAGACTCGAGAAAATGTAATTCACTATACTTTGCGTGAGTAATTTGCGTGAGTCAACAGCATAACACTGATGGTTGTCTTGCACACACACACACACACACACACACACACACACACACACACACACACACACACACTCACACTCTCACACTCTCACACTCTCACACTCTCACACTCTCTCACTCTCTCTCTGACTCAGCCGCCCAGCGACTCCGAGCATGTAATGGCACCTCTCCACTGATCAACCCGTCGACAGGAGAGGACCTATACTGTGGGGAGGGCGGCACTATCTGCCCCCCAGGCACCTACTGCCACAGGCAACACGACTTTGCCAAGTGCTGCCGGGATTACTCCATCAGGATCGCAGGTAATTCAACTTTCTTGCCATGTTATCCTGATCTATATCCACACAGTCGTTTGCGAGTTGTGTCAAAAGTCGTTTGGAGAATATCACTTTCCATCTTTATCACATCCCTGGATCTATCTTTCTCACATCTCTGGATCTGCCTTTCTCATTTCCAGTTTTAGATTTCTCACCTGTATTCTGTCTCCCAATATTTACATTTCTCTATCACTAGGAAATATCTGTTAATCTTTTTCATCGCTGGTTGCATGTCTCTCATCTCTTAGTTGCATGTCTTTACCCCAGGTTGCATTTCTCACTTTTGACCTCATTTCTCTCACGTTTGGTTGCATCTTTCTCTCTCTCTCTCTCTCCCCCACTGACCTCTTTGGATTTCTGCCTGTCACTAACTCTCCACTATCTTCTCCTCTCTGGCAGTGATCGAGGCCCCAGTGCCACGGGACTGCCACCAGACCGACTGGGGTTGCTGTGAGGACGGTCTCAACATTGCCACGGGAGCTGAGAGGGAGGGCTGCCCCGAGTCCTGTCGCTGTCACAGACTAGGTGAGCGTCACAGAGAAAAAGATGCACTGATTCTTATCATTGTAACAGATGTGGTAAGCGAATTTTGTGAGTCGGTCTGTGTGAGGAAGACTACTGTAGATTCGGTCTTATGAGCGTGTGAATTCTTCCTGCCACAGTTTACTATACAGGCTGTGAACTCTTCCCCCTGCCACAGATTATTTGAAGTTAAATCCTTATTTTCCGCGAATCTCGATCCGCTAATCATTTACAACCTGGTATCTCGACGTTCTAAACCTACGAGAGATCCGAACCTAGGTCTTTTCTTTTAGAGTCGCGCGGCGAGCGTGCTAATCACTGAGCCATTGAGTGTTAAACAAGTATTGATATCATGCCGGCGGACCTGAGAGCCGAAATGGTATTGTCGAATCATATTTTAGCGTTAAAAAGATACGAACATAGTTTTTATACTGAATGTAATGTGTAATTAAACATATTTTGTGATTGGAATGGAAATGTTGGAGTATTTGCGAAATGCGCATCAAGGGGATTTTTGGTCATTCTGTGTTAACGTGTGAGTGTGTTATCGCTCGGACTCCTGAACGATTCTGTCGATTTGGGTGAAAATTAAACCATTAATTTACTGTGAACGGTGTTTTAGTGCTCGGCTTTATGTTGGCGCAGATTGGACGACTGTGAAGACCTGTCTACTGATGCCCCGATTTATTTTATTTTACGGCCTGTTTGCACTGGCCGGTATATAGAGGCTTGTATAGCGACGGTCTTGTAGGTACGAGGCTCGGCGCTGGACCTCCGGTGGTCGAAGTGGTTGGGCAACCTCGTTCCTCTCCTCGTGTCCCCTCCAAATGTTGTACTGTATAGTTGACCAGACCACACACTAGAAATTGAAGGGACGACGACGTTTCGGTCCGTCCTGGACCATTCTCACAATCGACTTGAGAATGGTCCAGGACGGACCGAAACGTCGTCGTCCCTTCAATTTCTAGTGTGTGGTCTGGTCAACATACTTCAGCCACGTTATTGTGACTCATCGCCTGTACTGTATAGTCATACTAGTTCAGCGCTTTCTCCTCGCAGTTGTCTTACCTTAACAATTCGATCTTCGGCGACAAATTCACTGACGTTTTTTGCCTTGAACTCTTAAGATTAATGAAAGACTTGAGTTTCCTTCAAACGATTAAGTACCTACGGGATCACCATAGCCCGTGCTACTTGGAACTGCTTGTTCCACGTAGCGAATCTTTAACAACAACATTCAAACGAGGCTGTTCATGGGCAATCATGCTTGTAAAGATGTTTATTTATAGTTCACTTCATTTGGCCGTAAAATTGGTATTAGGAACGTATGCCACAAGATATTAGAGGACGGTTCGTGTCTGGTTTACAATAGTTCTCACGAATCTAAACAGGAATTGAACAAGTATCATACGCGAACTAAACGATTTGTACACATGAGCAATACATAATTTATGATGGAACTCATAGCCATCTCCGTGTGAATTATCTACTAATTATCCAGAGATCGTACAGGAAATATTAAGGAATTATGTAAAAGCTATCCAGAGTTACCCATATAATATTGAAGGATTATGCAGTAATTATGCGGGAAATTTGCATCAACTAATAGTTAATTATTCATATTTCTCGATATCAAAAAAATTCAGTAAAGCAAACAAAATCGGGTTGCAAATCAGATGAGGACTTTCACGAAGTGATTTCATTAAATTTCGTTATCTTATACAAAAACAAACAAACAAATAAGTCACAAGAACAGCAAAAGCTTCCAGTGTCTCTGTTAATTGGTTCGACTTTCCTCACAAAAAATGTGACTTTCGAAAGTTGGGAATTTTGTTGGTAAACCAAAACCAAAAAAAAGTCTTTGCATAGTTAACTTTTAGGCTCCGGGACTTTTAATACATTATTCCCACCAAAAGTAGACTTTAACTGCATCAGACTTAAGTATTCCCTCTAGCCGCAGATACTTAGTTGTTGCTGGAGATAGAGTCGTCTTCTGTCTCATCCAGTCGTCGCGGGAGTCGTCTCGTGCCTCACACAGTCGTCGCAGGAGTCGTCTCGTGCCTCACACAGTCGTCGCAGGAGTCGTCTCCTGTCTCATCCAGTCGTCGCGGGAGTCGTATTCTGTCTCATCCAGTCGTCGCAGGAGACGTCTTCTGTCTCATCCAGTCGTCGCGGGAGTCGTCTCCTGTCTCATCCAGTCGTCGCGGGAGTCGTCTTCTGTCTCATCCAGTCGTCGCAGGAGACGTCTTCTGTCTCATCCAGTCGTCGCAGGAGTCGTCTCCTGTCTCATCCAGTCGTCGCGGGAGTCGTCTCCTGTCTCATCCAGTCGTCGTGGGAGTCGTCTCCAGTCTCATCCAGTCGTCGCAGGAGACGTATCCTGCCTCACCCAGTCGTCGCAGGAGACGTCTCCTGTCTCATCCAGTCGTCGCGGGAGTCGTCTCGTGCCTCACCCTAGTCGTCGCAGGAGACGTATTCTGCCTCACCCAAACGCAGACGCAGCAAGAAAAATGCCATCAATATCAAATGTATGACCGAGACACTTGCAAAGTCACCCGGAAAACGCCTTAAATCCTACAAAACCAAGTGACTAAAAGCACTGTAGGGGCAAGAGCGCAGCAGAGCAATTCGTCTTCTGTCTCGTCTCTCTGATTAGCCCACAGCTGCGTTCCTTTACGGACTGGCAAAATGAGAAGCGGCGGTCGGCCGCTCTCATTACACTTCTGACTAGAGAAACACTGACAATATAGTCGCTTGGCGAACACACTACCTTACGCACACTGATGTTCTTGTTATCTTTAGCGTGTTGATGTTCCCGTAAGCGTGTTACCGTATCCTTTAGAACCTTTGCAGTTTCCGTAATTCTTTTGTTCTTGTGTTATGTCCACAGGGTCAGTGCGGGAGGCGTGCGACGCGGTGACGGGCGTGTGTGAGTGTCGGCCAGGCGTGGGCGGCAAGAATTGTGACCGCTGTCTCTCCGGATACTTCGGCCTTCAGAGGGTCTCTGAAGGAGCCATCGGATGCACCCGTGAGTATTGTTGTCCGCTAGTTACTGCGTGGTCTTCGTTGTCGTATGAGACCGCGTCGTTGTCGTATGAGACCGCGTCGTTGTCGTATGAGACCGCGTCGTTGTCGTATGAGACCGTTTCGTTGTCGTATACGACAGCCTCATTCAGTGTTATGACTGCTTCTTTTAGTTTATGACAGCTTCGTTCGGTTTCATGACCGCTTCGTTCAGTTTCTTGACCGCTTCTTTCGGTTATGACTGCTTCTTTCAGTTTATGACAGCTTCGTTCGGTTTCATGACCGCTTCTTTCAGTTTTATGACTGTTTTAATTATTACGTTTTATTCATCTATTGATTTAACCCTTTATCACTTATTAATTAATCGAGCACGTTGTCAGTCAAAACTTTTGCTTTATGTATCCAGGTTTTCACAAGGGTGTTTACGTGTAAACTATTGCATTAGTTGATTTACGTTTTCGTTCTTCCTTTGCAGCGTTCATCATTCAGCATGTGTTCTCCCCCCTGCAGCGTTCATCACCCTGTGTTCTTCCCCTGCAGCGTGCGGGTGCTCAGTATACGGGTCGCTGCGTTTGGACTGCGAACAGATGACTGGAGAGTGTGAGTGCAAGGCTGGAGTGACTGGCCATCGCTGCACTCTCTGCCCGCGAGGACAGGTCCTCCGTCCTGAAGGGTGCGTCTATGGTGAGTGTGGTGCTGTGGGGGGTGCTGTGGGGGTGCTGTGGGGGGTGCTGTGGGGTGCTGTGGGGGGTGGTGTTGGGGGGGGTGCTGTGGGGGGTGGTGCTGTGGGAGTGGAGTGGGGAGTAGCCTTAAAAGAAAGGATCTCAAGGCAACTAACTGCTATCCAATGGAAACTTGCCATTCTCCTCTGGCTGATACTTGAGAACAGGTGAATTAGGTGACCCACGACCCTAGGTGAAGGATATGTTACATCCCCGGAACTGTGGTGAACAGTTTATATATGACTCAGGGCGTGGATCACCTAATTCTCCTGTGCTCAATTGGCAGCCAAGAGGATGGCAAGTTTCCATTGGGTAGCAGCTAGTTGGTAGTTTTCTTATTCTTAAATGAGTATACTATATGAGTATATCACGGTGGAATGTGTGTGGGGTGCGTCACGGTGGTGTGTGTGTGGGGTGCGTCACGGTGGTGTGTGTGTGGGGTGCGTCACGGTGGTGTGTGTGTGTGAGTATCAGGTTGCGTTACTTGAAAGCGGCGTTTTGGCCTCTTTTTAAGTCACGCTCCGGATAATACAACAAATACCTGACGTACTATACATGTGAGTTGTCTTCGTGGACGGTGACACTGGCACTTGTTGTCTCTGCCACCAGAGGACCTGCTGGTGCCACAGCCCACCACCTGCGACCTGCTCCAGTGCCACTTCGGAGGTCGGTGCCACGAGAAGGGAGGCTTAGCGTCCTGCGCCTGTACCCACCACTGTCTTCCGGTATATATGACCCCGTGTTTTCTCGGTATTCAACCACCTGCGGTCCGGCAGCCGTATACTGGCCTCCCTATAACATAATATATCCCTCCTATTTTCTAATAATGCCTACCTGTATAACAATGCTTTCCTCATAGAAACATACTACCAAAATAGGAAGGTGGGTACAATGATGCTACCCAACGCAAGGTAAGCGGGTACAATGATGCTACCCAACGCAAGGTAAGCGGGTACAATGATGCTACCCAACGCAAGGTAAGCGGGTACAATGATGCTACCCAACGCAAAGTAAGCGGGTACAATGATGATAATACCCCCTACTGGACTAATATAGTAAAAACGAGTGATTATGTTTGAGATCTGACAATCTTTCTCCCCCGTCTCCCGCTCTCCTTCTGGCGTCAGAGTGGTGTTGGCGGGTTGCTGGCGGTGTGTGGGTCGGACAGGACGACGTACGCCTCCGAGTGCGAGCTCAAGTACCAGTCGTGCGTCAAGCAGGCGGATATCGTCGTGGTCGCCTTCGGGTTGTGCACAGGTGAGCTGCGTCCGCTGTGACTTAGCTGAGTGTGTGTGTGTGTGAATATCTTGCGATTGTGTATGCGGCGTCAGAGTTTGTTACAATCACTGATGCTGCCAGAACTTGATTCATATCGTACACAAGACGGTTCGACTACGGAATCTAAATCCTACGCTACCTAACGCAAGCTAACCTAACCCAAGCTAACCTAACCTAAACTGATCTAACAGAACTCACCCGAGCCTAACACACCCAAATCTAGCCTAACCTGACGATATATAGGGTGTTGACAATCAGAAAAGGAGCTTCGACGATCCCTCTTGTGTACGATTTGACCCCACTTCGCTGCCTATTATTCGCACATTGAGACAGTGGTTATGTTACACTGTTACAACAGAGTCGTGGACGGACGCCCCGGTCCGCCGCTCCACAGCTGAGGATGGGTGGGGCACTGAGGAATGGGCGTGGCCAGGGCGAGGCCTCACAGAACACCACGCCCTCGCCACCAGGAGACACGTTGACGCCGCCCACTTCACCCGCGCCCATTCCCCGAACTCCGCCCACTCCAACATGATCATCGAGTCCCCGACGCACGTGGTGACGCCGAAGACGGCTCTGGACTCGGAGGAGCAAGGCCCTATCTTCCCGCTCTCCGCGGCCACCAAGCTTCCCTACAGAGTGCCAGCCTTCTCAGGCACCTCCTACATACAGGTGTGGCACTTGTTAGAGGTACGGTGGCTTGTGCATACTGCTCTCACCCCGGGCGGCGTAGCTCATGCTCCCCTCGAAGGAAATGCGTATGTGTGTTTGTAATTCACGAAAGGTGTGGCGTAGAATGTAATTATATATATTATGTTGAACAGACCACACACTAGAAGTTGAAGGGACGACGACGTTGTTTCGGTCCGTCCTGGACCATTCTCAAGTCAATCGACTTGAGAATGGTCCAGAACGGACCGAAACAACGTCGTCGTCCCTTCAACTTCTAGTGTGTGGTCTGGTCAACATACTTCAGCCACGTTATTGTGACTCATCGCCTGTATATATATTATACTAATGTTTAGGTTCTGATGTTTATGCGAATGTTTGTCTTCTTTTTCTTAGCGAAAGAAATGAACGAGGAATTTATTTTTAAGTCACAATTGTCCCATCTTGTAGTTTGCGTTTTGCGATCATATGGCGTCTTGTGTGTGGCACAGTGCGCCACAGCGCTAATGCGATTTTTCCTTCGAACTGCGGCCAGTGACTGTGTCTCCTGCTGCAGCTGATGCCGTGGTCTGTGCCGACGAAGGTGCAGCTGGAGGTGGAGTTTGTCGCTCACGAAGCCGACGGCGTCTTGCTGTACGTCCAGGAGACTCTTGGAGGCGTCGGCGACTTCTTGGCGCTCGTTCTGAACGACGGGTACGTCACTTGACGTCTGCCCTCTCTCTACATACCTGCACGGCGTTGTATCTGCCTCCACTGACTGATACCAACTTGCACTGATTCATACCTTCCTTCAATTACTCAATCCAATTTTCACTAACTGATACCAGCTTCCACTGACTGATACTAACCTCCACTGACTGATACTAACCTCCACTGACTGATACTAACCTCCACTGACTGATACTAACCTCCACTGACTGATACCAACCTCCACTGACGGATACCAATCTCCACTGACTGATACCAACCTCCGCTAACTGATACCAACCTCCACTGACTGATATACCAACCTCCACTGACTGTTATACCAACCTCCACTGACTGATATACCAACCTCCACTGACTGATACCAACCTCCACTGACTGATACTAACCTCAACTGACTGATACCAACCTCCACTGACTGATACCAACCTCCACTGACTGATACCAACCTCCACTGACTGATACCAACCTCCAATGACTGATACTAACCTCCACTGACTGATACCAACCTCCACTAACTGAAGTTTTATTGATATAGTTTCGTACACTCTTACAGGTCAATTATTTCCCTAATAACACCACAATTCATTCCGTTGGGTAAATATATTTTGTAATAAATAAAATTTTGTATTATGTAACCTATCTGTAGGTTATGTAAGGACTTCAACAACCATAGACTAATTATTCTGACATGTTGATTCGTTGATAGCGAATAACAGATATGATTCATTGAGTTTTCTTATCTCTGATGACCTGTATCTCCCTCCCTCACACGCCCTCACAGACACCTGGAGGCCCGCCTCGACCTGGGCAACGGACAGGTCAGCCTCAGGTCACCAAAGCCCATTGACCTCTTTACCAAGACTTTGGTCAGCGTCCGGACTTACAACAGGTGAGTGATGGAGCAACATTACTGCCTAATGTTGGAGAGACCTGGGAGAGGTGTTTTCCTGGTGACAATGTACCATTATGACATATTATTAAAATATTAGAGCATAATTATTTGTAATTAGCTCTCTGTTCTTTCTTCTCTCTCTCTCTCTCTCTCTCTCTCTCTCTCTCTCTCTCTCTCTCTCTCTCTCTCTCTCTCTCTCTCTCTCTCTCTCTCTCTCTCTCTCTCTCTCTCTCTCTCTCTCTCTCTCTCTCTCTCCTCTCTCTCTCTCTCTCTCTCTCTCTCTCTCTCTCTCTCTCTCTCTCTCTCTCTCTCTCTCTCTCTCTCTCTCTCTCTCTCTCTCTCTCTGTTGTTTAACGCCCATTGGGTGTCGCCCTCTAGGGATGCCTTGCTGCAAGTGGGCGTGGGGGAGGCCATATCCGCCCGTTCCGAGGGCGTGCACCGCGCCATGGACATCCACGCCCCGCTGTACGTGGGCGGCGTGCCCGCCCTCACTCCCAGGGTCCTCGCCAACCTGGGCGTGGGGAGGGGCTTCTCCGGCTGCATACACTCCCTCAAAGTCGGCCAACGAGGACTTGACTTGGTGAGTCGTGGCTGCTGGTGTTACTGGTCTCACTAGTGATCTGTGATCATATTGGTGGATATACATGGCTGCTAGTGGATATACATGGCTGCTGGTGTTAGTGGTCTCACTAGTGATCTGTGATCTCATATTGGTGGATATACATGGCTGCTGTTGGATATACATGGCTGCTGGTGGTATACATGGCCGCTGACCATATATACTGGCTGGCTGGCATATTCATATACATGGCATACATATACATGCTCAACAGACGACTTGGTCTGTTATGTAGACCCGGGGGGGGGGAGGGGAGGGGGTCCCAGATTACCATGTGTGTGTGTTGTTCACGATGAGGCACTACGGGCTCGCCATAGCCCGTGCTACTTGGAACTTTTTGTTCCAAGTAGCGAATCTTAAACAACAACAAACTGTTCACGATACGCACATATAGTCTAACCTGCTAGTGAAGGGTCACCGATGACCTCGTCTGGTGGTCAGTAACCTCTGTTTGACCTTGTCTGGGGGACAGTTACCTCTGTATGACCTTGTCTGGTGGTCAATGACCTCTGCATGACATTGTTTGAGGTCCTGTGACCCCTGATAGCATGGCTTGTGATCCATTGACCCCCAGGAGACATTAACCCCCTGGTGATCGTGGTGTCCAGTGACCTCTTGATACCCTTTGTCAGGGTGACCATTGACCCCAGGTGACCTTGTCTGTGGCTCTGCAGGTCTGGGGACGGTCGGGAAGCGTCGGACACGCCCACAATGTGAGTGACTGCCGCCCATCGCCCTGCGCCGCCCACCCCTGCATCAATGGGGGCACCTGCCGCCCACGCCCACACAGCCAGAGCTTCGTATGTGACTGCCCGACGGCGTACACAGGTACGTACACGCAATTCGTGCTTCGTGGGTGCATTAAGAGGAGGTTGGAGAGTTTTATATACACGTCGTGTTTATGCATAGTATAGACGCATTAAACCGAGCCATAGCTCGGGGAAAAACATATTTCATCTGCATTCGAAGGTCAAAATCCTTACTTAACTCTGAAAGTGTTATGAATGTCTGGGATTAGCTTCTTGTGTCTTTATAAAAGTTCTTGTGCCTTTATAAAGGTTCTTGTGCCTTTATAAAGGTTCTTGTGCCTTTATAAAACCTCCACACCTCTCACACAAAGCCGAGAGGCAAATTTGTTTTGTCTCAAGTCTATACCGAAAAGTACTTAAGTGTGGTGAGAAGAAACTGTGATAACTGCCTGAGATCACTGCCTCGTTGTGATCACTGCCTCGTTGTGATCACTGCCTCGTTGTGATCACTGCCTCGTTGTGATCACTGCCTCGTTGTGATCACTGCCTCGTTGTGATCACTGCCTCGTTGTGATCACTGCCTCGTTGTGATCACTGCCTCGTTGTGATCACTGCCTCGTTGTGATCACTGCCTCGTTGTGATCACTGCCTCGTTGTGATCACTGCCTCGTTGTGATCACTGCCTCGTTGTGATCACTGCCTCGTTGTGATCACTGCCTCGTTGTGATCACTGCCTCGTTGTGATCACTGCCTCGTTGTGATCACTGCCTCGTTGTGATCACTGCCTCGTTGTGATCACTGCCTCGTTGTGATCACTGCCTCGTTGTGATCACTGCCTCTTTGTGATCACTGCCTCGTTGTGATCACTGCCTCGTTGTAATCACTGCCTCGTTGTGATCACTGCCTCGTTGTGATCACTGAATCACACCGCACGTCTGTGATCACTGGCCTCGGAAAACTGCAATTATGTTAAGTTATAAGTTGAATTGTCTAATGGGTTCAAAGCAAATATATTAACAATAACCCAGTTCACTAAACTCTATTACATCTTTATCTGGTGATCATCTTACTCGATGATCGTGCAATGGTGCAAGATCCATCAACTTAATAATATAAATTCCCCGAACATCAAAATAATATGATTTTTTTTGGTTGAAATGCACCAAAAACTCAAAAGAATAAGACTTTTTTTGGTTGAAATGCACTAAAAAAGTCAAAACAATAAGACTTTTTTTGGTTGAAATGCACCAAAAACTCAAAAGAATAAGACTTTTTTCGGTTGAAATGCACTAAAAACTCAAAAGAATAAGACTTTTTTTTGGTTGAAATGCACCAAAAACTCAAAAGAATAAGACTTTTTTTGGTTGAAATGCACTAAAAAAGTCAAAAGAATAAGACTTTTTTTGGTTGAAATGCACTAAAAACTCAAAGAATAAGACTTTTTTGGTTGAAATGCACCAAAAAAGTCAAAAGAATATGATTTTTTTTGGTTGAAATGCACTAAAAAAGTCAAAAGAATAAGACTTTTTTGGTTGAAATGCACCAAAAAAGTCAAAAGAATATGATTTTTTTGGTTGAAATGCACTAAAAAAGTCAAAAGAATATGATTTTTTTGTTGTTGAAATTCATACAATAGTCAAACGAATAAGATTTTTGTTCTTGTGGAGAGGAACATACACACACACACACGTTATAAAAACAGTTATCGAGACGCTGAAATATATCGAGAAGCAAAATCGTGAGAGCTGTAGAGGGTGGAGTGTGTCTCTGTCCATATTCCTCTGTCCCACGCAACCATCACCAAAATGTTCTCTCTTCAAAATCCAATTTCGTTCCGGCAACATTGCAAGACAAACAGGGAACTTGGGCGTCCCCTCACGAGACCCCCCTTCCACGCTCCTATTCCATGCCCCCTCTGCCTTCCCACGCTCCTTCCCACGCCTCAAATTTGATACATTTCCTCCTGTCCTATTGGTATTCTTTTGTGAACATTAATATTGTTTGTCGTCTGTTCAACAGGTGTTTTTAAAGTGCTTGTGTTTGGCTTTCTCCAGGCAGCCGCTGTGAGGTGGAGGTCAGTGAGGGCTGTCGACGTCTCCAGTGTCCTCCCGGCACTGCCTGCCAGAGAGTGCCAGCCTCCACCACCCTCCACTGTGTCTCAGGTGAGTCTTAACCCTGGCACCACCTGCCAGAGAGTGCCAGCCTCCACTGTGTGCCTCTACTCGTGTAGAGGCACAGTGGAGTGTCAGAAGTGGAGAAGTGGAGTATCTTTCAGGTCTCTCAAGAGCTTCTAGTCTTCATAATTTGCGAGTTAGCAAGAAACATTTATATATAATTTCCTGTTTTACGCCAATCAGGGACATGATAGGGGTTAATATGACCTCTTCAGGACACCGCTGGTAGGGTCCGTTTCTTCATTTACGCCAATCAGGGACATGATAGGGGTTAATATGACCTCTTCAGGACACCGCTGGTAGGGTCCGTTTCTTCATCTTTAGACATAAGACATATATGTGTATCTTAAGTCTGCAGGTGTCTGTAGCCATTACAATGGCTACAGACACCTTCGGTTAGGTCTGTTAGACGTAACAGCAGTTTTCTATCAATAATCTGCTCTCATCTACCTTACCGTCTCTGTCAATCATCATGCTTGGAACACGTGCAAGCAACACGTGCATGATACGTACCGTGTCCTGAGTGTTGCCCGTGAACCGTATTGCCCAGGAGCTGGGCAATACGGACTCTAGGGGTCAGTTTCACGAAGCAGTTACTCAAGTACTTACGAACGTGTACATCTGTCCTCGATCTTTGACGGCTTTGGTTACATTTTATAAACAGTTTACAAGCATGAAAACTTCCCAATCAACTGTTGTTATTGTTATAAACAGCCTCCTGGTGCTTTGGAGCTCTGTTAACTGTTTAATAACTGTTTCATTTAACTGTTTAATAATTGTAAACAAAGCCGCCAAAGATTGAGAAAAGATGTACAGGTTCGTAAGTGATTCCGTAACTGCTTCGTGAAGCTGGCCCCTGGCCTCCAGTACTACTTGTCATCCTCACCCTCCTCCATCCTATCTAAGCCACGCTCGCCAGAGACTTCGGGCTCACCATAGCTTGTGCTACTTGGAACTTGTTCCAGGTAGCGAATTTTAAACAACAACAACAACAGCTCACCAGATTGGGCTATAAGTAGCCCGATCCTTGGCCTACTTATCCAAGGGCGCAGGGATTGGTCCAAGTTGCCCCCCTCCAAGGGCTACTTTTGATTTGGCTATTTGTAGCCCAATCAAAAAGCCAGCTATGTATGTCGCTATTTGCAATTTTTCGGACAACTGTTAAGATACTCTAAAAAGTGTATCATTCACTACAAAAACATTTGGCTACTCTTATTAAAAATTCGCGACTTTTATTCCTTAAGGTCGCTACTTTTAGCAATACAGATTTTGGCAACCCTTGATCGCTGCCATTATGTGAGCTGCCATTATGTGGGCTGCCATTATGTGGGCTGCCATTATGTGGGCTGCCATTATGTGGGCTGCCATTATGTGAGCTGCCATTATGTGGGCTGCCATTAAGTGGGCTGCCATTATGTGGGCTGCCATTATGTGGGCTGCCATTAAGTGAGCTGCCATTAAGTGGGCTGCCATTATGTGGGCTGCCATTATGTGGGCTGCCATTATGTGAGCTGCCATTATGTGCTCTACCGTTATTGTTGTTGTTGCTATAGATTCAGTTACTTGGAACATAAAAGTTCCAAGTAGCACGGGCTATGGTGAGCCCGTAGTGAACTTGTGCGCTACCAATATTGTTTGTAAACGCGTCACAAAGATGTGCAACACCACCACCATCACCACACACAGCACCATAACTCACCAGCAGGTCTCTCACCATCACCACCAGAGCTGGGGAGAGAGGAGACCTGGCCAATAGCGGACCTGGAGGGCCGAGGCTACCTGGTGCTGCCGCGCCTGGAGGAGCGGCTGCAAGAGGTGTCCCTGGAGGTGTGGTTCCTGAGTCGCTCCCCGCACGGGATGCTGCTCTACCAGGCGGAGGGTCCGGCCCACCGCGGCGACTTCGTCAGTCTCAATCTCGCTAGTGGTTACCTCCAGTTCCGCCTCGATGTCGGCCCTGGTGTCATTAATCTAACGTGAGTGTTTGTGGCTGTTGTTAGTGGTTGTTGTGGTGTTGTCATGTCCAACCACTTGGATTGGACGGTTGAGCGACGGTCTCGCTTCATGCAGATCGGCGTTCAATCCCCCGACCGTCCAAGTGGTTGGGCGCACCATTCCTTTACCCACCCCCGAGAGTGAGTGAGTGAGAGAGAGAGAGAGAGAGAGAGAGAGAGAGAGAGAGAGAGAGAGAGAGAGAGAGAGAGAGAGAGAGAGAGAGAGAGAGAGAGAGAGAGATATCACTTTCCCCATCGTTGTTAAGATATCATTTTCAGTGATAAGTCACGTGACAGAATAGCCATTTTTTTTTTTTGTAACGAAGGCAAGTCGTGGCGTTACAGTAATGAAAGGAGGAGTAAATATTGAGGTAATTAAATGGGATCGAACTCGCGTCCCAGGACGACCCCAGACACACGCACTCCGATGAGCTAAAAAAAAATAATGCTTACTTGGCGTACAAAGAAACTCAGAATCTGCCTATATAATTTATGCTATCCTCGTTAAACCAGAGTTGGTAAACGAGAACAACATATGTAAAAATATTTGTCTGATGTTAATTAGGTGTACATTGTATATATTTTATATAATATTAGTGTTGGAAATGAGGACCGCGAAGGAAGGGTAGTAATGATTTGTTTGTGTTGGTAGCTATAATGAGAATGATGAACCTTCCTGCTTCTTGTTCTACTCTCCATAATGTACATTACAATGTACTTCATTCTCCTTTACCAATGTGTATTGTTGTCGAGAAATATAAAGCACTGTGAAGGATTTTTGTGCATACATTAAGAGCAAGTGTTGGGTCAGGTTGTGTCAAGACTACTTGAGCGGCCGGGGTGACCTTTGATGAACACATCAGAGTTCAATATATATGACTAGAACACCGTTCTCTGATGGTCAACACCAGACAATCTCTCCTATACACACACTTCTACTCGAGAAATTCATTTTCAACGACCCACAAAAGTGGGGAGGGGGGAGAGGAAAGGTCATGAGGAACATAACTGATGAAACGTGATCTCAACCAATACTGAAAATGACATACTACAGGAGCATGACGACCCCCCTCCCCCCTCCCAACCCACGAAGAACTCCCCCTCAAAGCAAACAGAACTCCTTGACAGAGACTCATATTCTCTACCCCCGTTGCATGCCCATTTGGGGCACTGTAGCCCCCCCAGTGGCCTAACCAATTTACAACACCAGGTTGAGGGCTAACTCAGGTAAGTGAGCTGACGGGCTAAGAGAGTCGCCATTGTCCCCAGGAGGTAACTCGGCAGTCTTGTCCCCACAGGTCGTCTGAGACGGTGGAGGTCGGGGCGTGGCACCGGGTGAAGGCGTGGTGGGAGGGTGGTCGCGCCTCCTTACAGGTAGACCAGGCCCCACCTGTCACCTGTCCGGCTCCTGCCCACCCCCACACACTCACCCTCAACACCCCCCTCTACCTGGGGGGCTTCAGGTGAGGGCTACAACCCACACCATCAGGTGGGGGCTGATTTTCATATATTACATGTAACAATAATTACATTTATGTATATGAGGATGTCTGATCGAAGCTGGAGACCAGACGTTTGCAGTTAGCCTTACAAAACTTTATACTCCGATTCCTGTGGGGTTCGTGCCTATCATGGTCGGAGCGGAGTTGGCCTAAGTGAAACGAGTGTCATTTGACACAGTGCCATTTGGAACCCCCATGGCGATTCTTTAGAATATAATATTTGGACTGGAGGGGATTAATTTGATTATGTTCTTTGATTTATATTTTTATAACATAAAACAGTAGCGATTATGTTTGCAAAGTTTTCAAAAAAATTATATCACAATTTGTCATTAATTACCTCAAATACATACCCGTCATGGCATGTATGATGACTGGGGGAAGCCATCATACATGCCATGATGGCATACTGGTCGAGTGGCTAGCCCTCTCCTGGTTCAGCCATACATGTGTATAACCCTCAGTGCCCTCCACCCAGAACAGCTCCAGAGATAGAGATGAGAGAGGGGAAGACAGAAAAAATATCTGTACTCTTCTGTGTTGTCCTATAATTGTTATTCGTAATTATATAGAGAACTAGATGGGGCTTATGTCCCTTTTCTCCTGCTCCTCGTGTGTCTCTCTCTCTCTCTCTCTCTCTCTCTCTCTCTCTCTCTCTCTCTCTCTCTCTCTCTCTCTCTCTCTCTCTCTCTCTCTCTCTCTCTCTCTCTCTCTTTCCCCCTCCCTTATCGCTCTTCCTCTATATGTACCTCTCTTCCCTCCCACATCTATCTCTTCTCCTATCGTCCCTCTTTTCCACAAACGTCCTTCACTTCCCCTCTCCTTCCCCTTTCTTTTACCCCTTTCCATCCTGTCTCAAAATCTCTCCCACTCTTACTTCGTCCATTCTCCCCCCCCCCTCTCCCTCTCCCACGCTCTCTACCTTTCTCCCATCTCTCCTCCAACATTCCCGTCCGCGGAAGGCATAACTTCTATCACACACCTGACCATGAAAATCGCAGGATACAGATCCAATCTGTATCCTGCAATCTGAAAATCCATAGATACAGACATTTCTTACAATGTGATAATTGGGCTTTGGGTGAGGCTAGCCCCAGGCCTCTGGCCTTCAACCTTGGACTGACAGACATTCTCCTTTATATAGATAATACATATCTATATCTATAATTTTTTTTAGATATCTATAATTTCTTGTGAAAGACTTTGGAGGTGGTCGAACCTTAATATTTTGTCATATAAATAGAATTGCTATACACAATTATCTTGCATAATGAGATGATCAACTTCCGTTGTTTAGTGTATATATTGGGCACTGCTGGCACCTTAGCCTAGTGAGTGCCACGCTGAGCCAACCTGTAGTATTGTTCTGACTGTTGTAGTCACAGTCACAGCTGCGGACTGTGAAGACTGTGTTACAGTCATCACAGTACACGCACTGTAGTGCCATGATGTTAACACGCTGTACTCACTCACATGTTACCTGATTACAGGCTGTGGCACTAAGATATTACCCAGATACCTGGTACCTGTTTTATCATGTCTGGTACCTGATTGATCATGCCTGGTACCTGTTTTATCATGCCTGGTACCTGCTTTATCATGCCTGCCACGTATTTTTGGTACCTGCTTTATCATTCCTGCCACGTATTTTTGGTACCTGCTTTATCATGTTTGGTACCATTTATCTGGTAATGTATGTACCTGCTTTATCATGCCTGGTAATGTATGGTACCATGCCTGGTACCATATTTTATCATGCTTTATCATAGCTGGTACCTGCTTTATCATGCCTGGCACGCGTTTTATCATGCCTGGTACCTGCTTTATCATACCTGGTAGCTACTTAAACACTATAATACCATCTCCTGGACAACAGACTCTGGTACCTGGTGAACCGGGAGTCGGGCATCCTGGTGGGGTTGGACGGAGCGCTGCAGAAACTGCTTATCAACGGCGTGGCGTACAGCAGACTGCCGGAGGCGGCAACGGAGCAGAGGGGCGTGTCCCTCTACATAGGGCCTCCGTGTCACCCCAACCCCTGCAGCAACGGCGGGCTGTGCGTGCCCCTGCTGGCTAATTTCTCCTGCCGGTGTCCGGTCATGTTCGTCGGGAGACTCTGTCATAAAAGTTAGTGCGCGCCGAGTATGTTTACGTCTTGTAATCTGTATGTAACGTGAGGCCAAGAAGCTGTTTCACCTTGTCAGTATATTCTGATGTATTTTTGTTTCTATATATATCAGTATGAAAGTGCATATATATATATATAATGTTTCGTAGGCCTAGCTGGAGTGAGTCTTGACCAGCCTATACACTTGGATGGGTCCACGGCGGTTCTCTATCCAGGACAGCTGTCACTCAAGTGAGTAGTCTCAGAAATAATATTGCAAACATTAGCCCTGTTCATCGACATGCCTAGGTCTTTATATCTGTTACAATATATGCTTTCACAACTGACTCCATACCTGCCTTCGTGAATCTCCGTTGAAGAGCAATATACTTGTCGTAAATTACAGAGTGATACACAGTAAAATGGATACAAGATAATTGTAAAATGGAGCAGGGTCATTTTTTTTTACGTTGAAACAACGTCGTAAGAACAGTTATTTCTTGTATTGTGACAACGTCGTAATGACGTTATTTGTTACATTGTGACAACGTTACAAAATAACCTTGAGGTTACATTGTGAGAGTCGGAAGAGGATCAAAATAATAATACAGGAATGTATGTTGCAGGTCAAACCGGAGTGGCCTTCATGTGCCCTGGAGCCACCCAGACTATGACTACCTCCAGTATGATGAGGTCGAGCAACAGCTCTTGGACCAGGTCACCCACTCCGACGACCTGGCTCACGACAGGTCAGTACACTTTGTAACCCACAGAGGGAGAGAAGAAGGGTAGGGGAAGGATAGTGAGATAGAGGAGGGAAGAAGGAGAAAGATAGTGAGACTGAGAGAAGAGAGAAGGGGGAAACAGGCAGAGAGAGAGAGAGACCCGGACTACGCCGGATAATAGTAGATATAGATCCTTGTGCTTGTGATTAATATCTAATCTTTCCTACCTCTTCGCTGCGACTGATGTCTTCGATGGGCGTCCAGAGGGCGTGGGCGGCCTCATGGCGTCCTGGAGGTGAGCTTCCGGGCTGACAGTAGCTCCGGGCTGCTGCTGTGGGCGGGACGTGGGCGGAGTGGGCGTAGCAGGGCGGGGGATTACCTCGCCTTGGCCCTCGTTGACGGCCTTCCACAGCTGGCCCTCAACCTCGGCCGCTCTCGCAAGCCGTTTATCCTGACAGCTACGGTACGTACCTGAACGGTCCTAACAGCTACGGTACGTGCCTGAACGGTCCTAACAGCTACGGTACGTGCCTGAACGGTCCTAACAGCTACGGTACGTGCCTGAACAGTCCTGACAGCTACGGTACGTGCCTGAACAGTCCTGACAGCTACGGTACGTGCCTGAACAGTCCTGACAGCTACGGTACGTGCCTGAACAGTCCTGACAGCTACGGTACGTGCCTGAACAGTCCTGACAGCTACGGTACGTACCTGAACAGTCCTGACAGCTACGGTACGTACCTCAACAGTCCTGACAGCTACGGTACGTACCTCAAGTCCTGACTGGTACATAGTTTCGTGTGATTTTCGTACTTGTATAAAAATCGACATTCTGGCGTGTGTCCAGCGTGACGCGATGCATCAGCAGCGTGTCCACGCACAGTTAGTTACCTTCTCCATACATAACGGGGACTCTCTCTGTGTTCCAGGGGGCTGTTGATGACGGCTCGTGGCACGTGGTGAGGGTGACCAGGCGGTGGAGGCGAGCACTGCTGAAGGTAGACAACCACCGGCCTGTGAGAGGCAAGGCTGCGCGAGGCGCCACCTACCTCCACACCGACGGTGACCTCTGGTTAGGTGGGTCAGGTCACCGGAACTATACCTCTGACCTCTTTCATACTGAGGTCACCTTATGTCAGGTAGAGAATGATGGGATCGCTGAATAGTTCATGTCAGGGTAAGCTCGCCCAAGCTGTGGCCGCAGCCCGTCCTTCTAAGGTTTTCCACAACGTCAAGAAAATGGTCAATTTAAAGTGGTCTCTCCTATAACCTACCAGAGGAATCGAAACAGAAAACGGGTCAGTACGTCACTTTCGCCAGCCGTTTTTATTTTATAGTACGACGATTTTTGGTCGTATTATAACGCATACGAGCGAAAAGCGACGTTCTTTGTAGGAGGACATGGTTAATGACCGGCCCCGTGGACGGAGGGGGTACTATTTACGGTTCGTGCAATAAAAAAAAATACATTTTTATCTAATATATTTTAATATTACTGTACATTAGAGTTTGTTTAAGGTTAGGTTAAATTTGTTTATTCTGTTATTAAATATTTGTATTTGCAGTGCGGGATGAAGCATTTTAGGGAAGCGCAATTCGAACACTTTAAAAAGAGTTAGAGCGAAATTAGCTGCGAATCCAGTGTAGTGTTTCGTATTGAAACGAGTGGTTCAGCGGGTGGATAAACGAGCAATTTGCCTTTGTTTATGAGGAAGAGTTAGTCAGAGATACGGTAGTTACGTTTTGAATGAGTGTGTGGACTCATGACTCACTATAGCCTGACAGCTGAGTGGACAGCGCTTTGGATTCATAGTCCTGAGGTTCCGGGTTCGATCCCCGGTGGAGACGGAAACAAATGGGGCAGAGTTTCTTTCACCTCCTGATGCTCTGTTCACCTAGCAGTAAATAGGTACTTGGGAGTTAGACAGCTGCTACGGGCTGCTTCCTGGAGGGTGTGTAACAAAAAGGAGACCTGGTCGAGGACCGGGCCGCGGGGACGCTAAGCCCCGAACACGGTGTTCTTCCACGAGTCAATGGTAATCACAAGTTCTCCCCTTCTATAACAAACGTTGTTCAACCGTTCTCATCTGGCCGGATGAGATTGTTATTTAGGACAAGAATGTTCTTCGAGTTCTTCACTGTTCTTCAATAACTGATGTTCAATAACTGATCCGCTTATGTGTAGGCAATTTTTTTAGTGTTCTTAGAGATGTGAAATTTCTAAATTAAAATCAATACAAGTTTGTAGAATTTTAATTAAGGTGGATTTTTTTGCTCTCAATTGATCCGCTTTGCCCTGACCCCCTTGCCCTCACCCCTTGCCCTCACCCCTTGCCCTCATCCCCCTCGCCCTCATCCCCCTCGCCCTCACCCCCTTGCCCTCACCCCTTGCCCTCACCCCCTTGCCCTCACCCCTTGCCCTCACCCCCCTTGCCCTCACCTCCTTGCCCTCACCCCCTTGCCCTCACCCCCTTGCCCTCACCCCCTTGCCCTCACCCCCTTGCCCTCACCCTCTTGCCCTTACCCTCTTGCCCTGACCCCCTTGCCCTCACTCCTTGCCCTCACCCCCTTGCCCTCACCCCCTTGCCCTCACCCCCCTTGCCCTCACCCCCCCTTGCTCTCACCCCCCTTGCCCTCACCCCCCTTGCCCTCACCCCCTTGCCCTCACTCCCTTGCCCTCACCCTCCTTGCCCTCACCGCTTGCCCTCACCCCCTTGCCCTCACCGCTTGCCCTCACCCCCTTGCCCTCACCCCCTTGCCCTCACCCCCCTGCCCTCACCCCCTTGCCCTCCAGTAATTCCAGCACTCCACAGAAATCCCTTCTCTCGTAGAAATCCTTACATCACCACAGTAATCCATGCCTCAGAGTAATCTATTCCGCAGCACTATTCTGTGTTTCTTAATCAAAATAATTATTTGTGCTTTGAAATGTAATGTTTCGTGGAATAATGGTTAGAAATTAAGCATTTTTTTTGATCTCTCTAATGTAATTTACAACTGATTTGTTTCTTAACTGATTATTATGGCTTATTATTTTTTACCTATTAAAAAAATAAGTATTCTTAAAAACTATTTAGGCAGCTTTGCGTTCACTTTGTCTAGGCAAAGTGGGTGTATTTAAGAGTCTGGTCATGAATTTATTTACTAAGTCTTGGTGTTTACAAATATGTTTACACTTTTTTTCTATATTTTTTTCAATTTTAACATGAAGAAGGTTGACGTCCTCCCTTACAGGCTTCCCCCTCACAGCTGGCTCTCTCTCTCTCACCTTGCAGGTGGGCACAGATGGGTGCCGCCCCACCTGGCTCCCGCCTACCACTGGGGGTTCAGAGGGTGTGTGGACCGGCTGTTGGTGGATGGTCGCGAGGTCCATTTGGTCCACCACGCTGCCTCGCCCACTCTCCAGTTCTGCCACTCACTCAGCTAACACCACCTACATCACCCACCTATACCAGTCGTCTACACCAACCACCTACGCAATCCACCTGCACCCCGTCATCTACCACCACCTACACCCCTTCATCTACCACCATTCATCTACATTACTCATCTACACCACCTAAACTACCCCCCGCCTCATCTAATCCATCCACCTACAACACTTTACCTCCTCAAACGTCATCCACCTGCACAGTTCAGTCAACACAAGAAAGCTTAATAATCCATCTAGCGCCATCTACACCAGTCATCAATTTCCAGCAAAACCACTAAGCTAACACAACCAAATTGACATCAATTGAAGGACTCGGCTTCTGGGATACCAGTTAATACCATACAGCTCACACCAGCAAATAATTCAGGGTAACACAATTTGTTTTTCTAGCTGCTCTAATCACTTTACATCAATTATACCACGCATTTAACACCAGCGGCGTAAGCTTGCGACATCGGCGATACAATTCATCAAATACCAGCTCCTTGACACCACACACACACCACCTGCACCCCACCACTAACACCATTAACACCACCTGCACGCTACCGCTAACAGCAAATCCACACCACCATTCTATCACTAACACCAGCACTACGACGCCTCTGATATCACCAGCTCTACAACGCCTCTGATAACATCAGCTCTACAACGCCTCTGATAACATCAGTTCTACGACGCCTCTGATATCACCAGCTCTACGACGCCTCTGATAACACCAGCTCTACAACGTCTCTGATAACACCAGCTCTACAACGCCTCTGATAACACCAGCTCTACAACGCCTCTGATAACACCAGCTCTACAACGCCTCTGATAACATCAGGTCTACAACGCCTCTGATAACATCAGGTCTACAACGCCTCTGATAACATCAGGTCTACAACGCCTCTGATATCACCAGCTCTACGACGCCTCTGATATCACCAGCTCTACAACGCCTCTGATAACACCAGCTCTACGACGCCTCTGATAACACCAGCTCTACGACGTCTCAGTTGAAGATTTTCAAGTGCCGAGAAAATGTGATGTCTCGGCTGAGGTCACATCTTCTTTCTCAGCTGATGTCCAGTCATCACTCTCAGCTGACATGTTGACTTCACTCTCAGCTAATTTTAAAGGTTGCTCAGCTTTCGTCTATCACCGAGACACAGGCCAGCTCTACCAGTCTAACACACAACGTTTTTTGGATTGTTACAGCGTAATGTTGGAAACGTTTCGAGACGTCAAGAAACGTTTCGAGACGTCAATAAACGTTTCGAGACGTCAATAAACGTTTCGAGACGTCAAGAAACGTTTCGAGACGTCAAGAAACGTTTCGAGACGTCAAGAAACGTTTCGAGACGTCATGAAACGTTTCGAGACGTCATGAAACGTTTCGAGACGTCAAGAAACGTTTCGAGACGTCAATAAACGTTTCGAGACGTCAATAAACGTTTCGAGACGTCAAGAAACGTCAAGAAACGTTTCGAGACGTCAAGAAACGTTTCGAGACGTCAATAAACGTTTCGAGACGTCAAGAAACGTCAAGAAATGTTTCGAGACGTCAATAAACGTTTCGAGACGTCAAGAAATGTTTCGAGACGTAAATAAACGTTTTGCGACGTCAAGAAACGTTTCGCGACGTCAAGAAACGTTTCGAGACGTCAAGAAACGTTTCGAGACGTCAAGAAACGTTTCGAGACGTAAATAAACGTTTCTAGACGTGAATAAACGTTGTGTACTTACTAGGTATGCATATAGGTGACAAAACTCGGCTCATTTCCCCTCCCCCCCCCCACCCACCCCCGTAGCTAATGCCAAAGCTGTTTAGCTCCTCCGGCAATGATGTGGATACGTCTTGCAATACACATGCTGAGCAGCTTCAAGAAGGCTGTACGGGTCTGTTGCAAGACATGCCGAGACATTGCACGTTGCATTAAGCACTGGCTAATAAGCCGAGTTGCTCCGGGCCTCGTCTACACATGGCTGCTTGTGCTAGGAACGCCTCTTAAGGGCGTCTTAAGGAACTGCATGGTAACTCAGTACATCTGAACTAACACAAGAAAATAAAAATTACATTTTAAACCTTTTTCAGAGGCTTTTTTATAATTACTAGAAAAGTCTATTTTCTAACTACGTAAGAAAGAAAAAAAGATAATAAGATTCTATTAATACAAGATGTGTCATGATCAAGACACCAGAAATACAATATTGTAACTATATGAACAGAGGAGATCATAATATCCTGATTGTAAACAATCGCCCAACTCACGTGAGTGTGTCAGGAAAGCAAGTGACGATCTATTGACCCCGTCATGATCCTCTATCTGGTTGCAAATTGTCCATATAAGCCTCATTTTGCAAGTGGATTATAGCGTTGAGGACGGACCGAAACGCCACCACTTTCCTCTATCACTTGTATGGAATTGGGTCGACTTGTAAATATATACGTCTGACCTCACCGTGACCTGACCGTGAAGTCGTGACCACCTTTTGATTATTACTGAAGTCTCGATATCGTAACAAACTCATTTTAAGTGTGATTAACTCTGCAACCAGTCGAAAGGTCATCATTAGGTCACAGTTATGCCTGAAGGTCATGATTACATTTTCACGGCTGTTAGGACATATCGAAGGTCAGAGAAGAGTATAGAAATCCCCCAAGGGAACTCAGTCCAGTTCGAAGCATAGTCATCAAGGGGACTGAATTCATCAAATATTGAGGTCACCAAACATGTTAGGGGTCTTCAAGGGTTCAGGTCACCAAACATGCTAGGGGGGTTTTCAAGGGTTCATGTCACCAAACATGCTAGGAGGGGTCTTCAAGGGTTGAGGTCACCAAACATGCTAGGAGGGGTCTTCAAGGGTTGAGGTCACCAAACATGCTAAGGTCTTCAAGGGTTGAGCCAACGTAGCTACAAGAGCTACTAAGAACTACAATAACTTTGGAAGTTACCACCAGGTGGCCAGGGAAGTCACCAAGTTGCTGTTTAGATATTTACGCGTCTGAACAGCACTGTTCAGATGGTGTTCAGATGTCACACGTCACCAAGAGGTCTTCCAATACACAGCCCCGAGTGTTCATGATGAACTGTGGCACTCTGAAGCGCTCTTTATCTATATTTACTCTGCATATTATAGTTTATTCAATTGCACATCTCTTAACACATCCCTGTCAAAAGTAATGCTGTATTTAGGGGACTGATTTTACATCCAGTGAGGACACAGACGTTACCCCACCATGTAATGTTTACAAGAGACCATATGACCACTTCGCCTCCCTCAATCACAGCGAAGATGGCGGCCCACCTTATACTTTACATGTAGATTGCTGACGCCTCGGGGTGGAGGGTTATGGGATGGGGGGGGGGGAGACACAAGGTGCTGACATGTCCTTATAGATGCTTCAGTGAGACACATTAACGCTACGTGCGCATTCTAACACCATGCGCGCATACTCATACTACGTGCGTAAGTCTGTCCAACTCTCGCGCGAGCATCTCCTCGTGAGGTTTTGTATCATACATTAGAGTGTACAGAACTAGGACTGTATTTCTTAGTGTGAATACTATTGACGTTTTGTAACCATTAAATGTGCCTTTTTGGAAATTGATATTTATTATCCTGCACCAAACAGCTCCTCTTGACCAGAGGTAACGATGTCTGTGGGTTATGACGGCCGAGTGTAGCGTGGTTATCACTCGGAGAAGCTGAGATGATCTGCTGCTGAAATTAATTTTTACTGCATTATTCTTCGTTCAAGTTGGCCATTGTTCCCCTTCCAAATGTAGGCCACAGCCCACTGGTCCAGGTGGACCACAGCCCACTGGCCCAGGTGGACCACTGGTCCAGGTGGACCACAGCCCACTGGTCCAGGTGGACCACAGCCCACATGGCTGAGTGGCCTGCTTGGTCACTAAGGTGCTGAGGGGCTGAGATGAAGATATATTGATGAAATCAATATATCTCACGTGATCTGCCACTATCGCGTGGCACAAGACCACATCACCACCTCACATCACCTCCCAAGACCACGTCACATCACCTCCCAACACATCACCACCTCTCAAGACCACCTCACATCACCTCCCAACACATCACCACCTCCCAAGACCACGTCACCACCTCACATCACAACACATCACCACCCCCAACACCAAAGCGTCTCTCATCAATTGCGAGAGAAATTCTACACCCGCACTGAAAAATGCCCCAGTGAAAGCCTGCTTCCCTTTCAAGTAAGTGGCAACCGATCAAGCCATTTCAAGATGAACACCCTCACTTATCGTGCACGCCCCCCCTCCCTCCCCCCCTGCCTCCCTCATTCCCTGCCTCACTCCCTCATTCCCTGCCTTCCTCACGCTGCCGTCTGCTGGACGGCCCCCTCACACCACAGTGCCAACATACTTTAGTCACGTTATTGTGACTCATCGTCTGCTTAAACTAACTTTACTAAAACCAAAAGAAATTATGCAAAATATGAACAGATTCCTGGCCGCTGGGCCGAAGGGCAATAACAAAAAACACGAAGCGAACTGCCAAATATGTGCAGAATCATACAATTAACCCTAACTAATTAAGTTTCAACAGAATAACTACCCCTGTGATAAGTTGCATTAACGCTATCGATTACAATTATCAATCAAAATCACCTCCCCCTTCAAAGCACTAATGATGTGAATATGTCAATGTCCACCACTACTGCTCGCCCCATGATTCTGGGCTACTTGAATCTGCTGTCTTTGTTATAAACTTACGAACCATTCCCCATCGATAGACAACCCGTTCTCACACTAGGCTGTTTAAAGCAGCGGCCGTCCTCCCCAGACGCATTCATCAATTTTAACATACTGTGTATTCAAAATTGGTTTGTTCTCATATATAAATTAATTAATATTATTATATATAAAAATTCGATGTATAGTTAGGCGTAGGTTAGGTTAGGTGTTTAGGTTTTGTTGAGGATTATTTGTATCTGAAGAAAGTTGTTGAAGCATTTACAGCAACCCGTCCTCGACTCAAGTCCATTACATCCAGCGGTCAACCCCACAGACGCATTCATAAATTTTAATATGCTGTTCATTCAAAACGGGAATTTTCTCAAATATAAATTAATATTATAATATATTAGCATATTGTGCATATATATAGGCATAGGTTAGGTTAGGTTAGATGTTTAGGTTCTGTTGGCGATTATTTGTATTTGTAGTACGTGGGTGAAGCATTTATAGCGTTGTGATTCGAACAAAATTCGTCAGTGAAACACTTGTTCCGGATATGTTCAAACGTCAGCAGTTGTGAGTCGTGTGTAAACTGCTTTTCATTCATAAACAGGGGGTTTGGCGGGTGCATGGAATCACTTTTGGATCTTTGTTGACTGATCTGAAGACAGTAGGTGAAGCATTTACAGAATTGTGGTTCGAACAGAGGACGTGAGCAAAGCACTTGTTCCGAAAGTGTTCGGACGTCATCAGTTCTGAGTCGTGTGTAAACCACTTTTCATTCATAAACAGGGGGTTAGGCGGCTGGACTAACGAGCTTGGATCTTTGTATGCGAGAACGGGTTGCTGGATGGAATGGACTTAAGTCGAGGATGGGTTGTATTACCCGATAATTTTTATTATCATCAAATTTATGACACCGGAAACCTTTGTTCCAGTGGGTTGGAATAAGCTGTTCAGTTGGTGTCAGGGCGACAGACAGAATAACTCGCTTCTCGTCTGAACACTTGACACATTAAGCTCAATACACAGCAAACGACGCTACCACCATCATGTGGCTCACACATATTGGTAGCCAACGTGAGCACGGGCTGACAGTTACCTCGCTGAAACACCCGTGGATGGAATGGACTTGAGTCGAGGACGGGTTGTATTACCCGAATTACCTGATAATTTGTATTATCATCAAATTTAAGACACCGGAAACCTGAGTGCCTCTGACATCCGCTACAATCAGGCAGTTAAGTACTAATCTTGTCTTTACATTTTGATCCATTGATTGATGTGTAAATATATAGAAAAAATGACTCGTAGGCCGCCCACGACCAGTGTTGCCAACTCATTTTTCAGTTTTACATAAACAAAAGTCTAAAAGATCTAGATTTTCCAGATAAACATAAAAAAAATCTGCAAAATTTACTACGTATTACTAATCCTTTAGCACAGTTTATTAACAAATATATATTTCTCTCTGTCCGTTTCTCTCTATCTCCCTCCCTTCCAGACTCGCTCCTCCCTCCCCATCTCTCAGTCTCACTTTCTCTCCCATTTTCTGTTTTCTCTCTTTATCTCTCCTGTTCTCTTTCGCAGTGGGCACCAATGCTCGAGTAACGTTGAATCAACGTTATCGACTTTAGGTATGAAGCATTAGGTATGAAATGTTTGGTGTGTTTCCCATAGAGTAATCAGTGCTTCTGGTGTAGAGACTGACTATGGGCTCCTCACCGGGAGTGAACATAGCATAGATACTGACTTTTCTACTCACTAACAGTGAACACAATATAGACACTGATCTATTCACCACGAGTGAACACAATATAGACACTGATCTATTCACCACGAGTGAACACAATACAGACACTGATCTATTCACCACGAGTGAACACAATACAGACACTGATCTATTCACCACGAGTGAACACAATACAGACACTGATCTATTCACCACGAGTGAACACAATATAGACACTGATCTATTCACCACGAGTGAACACAATACAGACACTGATCTATTCACCACGAGTGAACACAATACAGATACTGATCTATTCACCACGAGTGAACACAATATAGACACTGATCTATTCACCACGAGTGAACACAATATAGACACTGATCTATTCACCACGAGTGAACACAATATAGCCACTGATCTATTCACCACGAGTGAACACAATATAGACACTGATCTATTCACCACGAGTGAACACAATATAGACACTGATCTATTCACCACGAGTGAACACAATATAGACACTGATCTATTCACCAAGAGTGAACACAATATAGCCCATGATTTTTCCACTCTCCAAAAGCCACCACTGTGGTTCGTTCAACCATTTGGTCGTCACCACCTCGGTCGAGTGCCCGGGGCTCTATGGTGATCCAGGAACTGTGAGATTTCCACTACAGGTTCGCATACAGCCGGAAAAAAATGTCAGAACTGAAAGTTACAAAAAAAGAGCGCACACAAATAACAAATAACAGGTGAAGGTAAATGTGTATATATACAGTATAAATATCGTTGTGTTTTTGTTGCGTTTTCATGTTATAGAATCAATACAGAAAATTATTGTAAATTTTAATTGTATGGTTTGTATGGTTGTATGGTTAGGTTAGGGAGTTTGTGTGTATGTGTTTGCTTCTCTGTTGTGTGGGATCCTGGCTTTACTACCCTGTTGTGTGGGATCCTGGCTTTATTTCCCCTGTTGTGTGGGATCCTGGCTTTGCTACCCTGTTGTGTGGGATCCTGGCTTTACTACCCTGTTGTGTGGGATCCTGGCTTTATTTCCCCTGTTGTGTGGGATCCTGGCTTTGCTACCCTGTTGTGTGGAATCCTGGCTTTATTTCCCCTGTTGTGTGGGATCCTGGCTTTATTTCCCCTGTTGTGTGGGATCCTGGCTTTATTTCCCCTGTTGTGTGGGATCCTGGCTTTATTTCCCCTGTTGTGTGGGATCCTGGCTTTATTTCCCCTGTTGTGTGGGATCCTGGCTTTATTTCCCCTGTTGTGTGGGATCCTGGCTTTGCTTCCCTGTTGTGTGGGATCCTGGCTTTACTTCCCTGTTGTGTGGGATCCTGGCTTTGCTTCCCTGTTGTGTGGGATCCTGGCTTTATTTCCCCTGTTGTGTGGGATCCTGGCTTTGCTTCCCTGTTGTGTGGGATCCTGGCTTTACTTCCCTGTTGTGTGGGATCCTGGCTTTGCTTCCCTGTTGTGTGGGATCCTGGCTTTATTTCCCCTGTTGTGTAGGATCCTGGCTTTACTTCCCCCTTGTGTGGGATCCTGGCTTTACTTCCCCCTTGTGTAGGATCCTGGCTTTACTTCCCCCTTGTGTGGGATCCTGGCTTTACTTCCCCCTTGTGTGGGATCCTGGCTTTACTTCCCCCTTGTGTGGGATCCTGGCTTTACTTCCCCCTTGTGTGGGATCCTGGCTTTACTTCCCCCTTGTGTAGGATCCTGGCTTTACTTCCCCCTTGTGTGGGATCCTGGCTTTACTTCCCCCTTGTGTGGGAACGTATATAATGTATTATATATTGTACTGACAGTAACGCACTTTGCAAACTATTAGTTGTAAAAGTTAAAACTGAATGTCCATTTCTTTGTCTATTGGAGACTAGAGGAGCCAGACGATTGTAGTTACAACCACAACTCTCCATGGTGAATTGTGGTTGTATGGGGGAGCGGCATACGGGGATCGACCCCACGTATGCCCAACTTCAAGTAGGATTGGCTCCCATTGCGCCAACCAACGACTGCCACGAAGACCAAACCACAAGGGGGCTGGTAGCTGAGTAGACAGCGTTTTAGACTCGTGGACCTAGGGACCGGGGTTCGATTCCCGCAGCCGGCGGAAACAGATTTTCCTTCACCCTGATGCCGCTGTTACCTAA